ACAGTGAGTTCCAGAGCAGTCTGAACTACATAGTGAGACCCTGTCTCAACTCCCCCAAAAAAACCCCCAAAAAACAAAAAAAGAAAGCTGTTCTATTTTTACTTTTCTTAAACATATGACTGCCTGTTCTTCCAAAATCTCATCAATAAGGACTATTATCCATTACCTATTTTAATTTGGCAATTTAATAAACATAAAATACCATTTTACTTCTTGACTTCTAAAGAATTTCATCATTTGTATATGTCTTGTTAGCCAATTATATTTCCTCATTTCTTTTTTTTTTTGGTATCAGGGATCAAACTCAGAACCTTGCATTTGTGAGGCAGGAGGCAGAACCACTGAGTTAAATCCCCATCCCTGTATTTCCTTTTATTGTTAAGTCTTTTCCCCCATGTTAGGTTGTCTTATGGATTTATATGAATTTTAAGTGTAATAAGAACATTAAACCTTTTTCTGTCACATATTGCGAACCTTCGTGTCGGATTTCTGGATCATCTCCATTCTGAGATCATTTACTTAACTATATTTTCTTCTTAATCTTTTTCAGTATCATTTTTAATAGTCACCATTTTAAACTTTCAGAAAATTATTCTGATGAATATTGTGAGGTTTGGGTTGGATTCTCCCATCAGTGTCAATACGATGAGGCCCAGTAGTCCTGCACCCAACCTCCAACACAGCAGGTAATTGTGCAGCTGCCCGCCAGCCTCTTCTGTACCACCCACTCGGGCACCATGGGCCCCTGCCACTCTCAGCCGCACACATTCTCTGCTCAGGCCCTCTGCAGTGTGTTCCTTTGGCACCATACCAGATACTCACGTGCCAATGTCTTTCATTTTCTTTTGATCAAAAACTGCCTTGTGAAAGAGGCCCTCGTCAAGCATCTTATAAAAAATATTTTATTTACCTACTTGAAGTTTTCTTCTAACACCAAAGTTTACTTGTTTGCTCTTTGTCTGATAGTAGAATTTAAGTTCTATGAGAGAAAAGTCATGTGTTCATTTTCACTTCCCCAGGGCAAGAATGCCTAGTACGTATCAGGTGTTCAATAGGTATTTGGTAAGTTCATGTTTTTTCTCCATTAATTTAAAATACTGTCTTTTATAAACTCCTATATACTTGAGTCCCATTCTGAGATACCTTTTTATTCATATGCCTATGTTCAGTTAATGTCTATATTAAAGTTATTTATTTTTATTTATGTCTGATTTTAACTATTTCAGCTTTATGACAATTTTAATATAAGCAGTACTCTTATTCTTTCATTACTCATTTGAAAAATGACTGAGCAGAAAGAAGCATCTGTTTGTATTTCCTGTGAACTTTAGATAAAGTAATGTCCACTTAAGAATCCAGTAAAAGTATATTTGAAATTACATTTGACTTCATAATTTAATCAAGGGGAGAACTGACATCTCCATGATACTCAACATTCTATTTAAATTTCTTGTGTGTGAAATGGAATTGTGGATTTATACAAACTAAATTGGATGAGAACCAAATTAAACTTCTCCATAAGGTCAACACTGAACCTAACCCTTGAATTTGATATGGTTCTTGTCCAAGTAGATCTGCAACCAGAACTGTGGAAAGAACCAAGTATGGGAATGGAGGGAACGTTGTGTATGAGCAGGTCTTTGTGGGAAATATGTACTGAAGTACCTAGTGATCAACTCTTCTGACTTTCTTTCAAATGGTTCCATAAAAAACCAAAGAGAGAGAGAGAGAGAGAGGAGAGAGACAGAGATACAAAGACAGTGGGGTGGAGAGAGAACACAGTAAGTAAAGAGGGGCAGAGGAAGAAAGGGAAAGGTGGCAGAAAAGTGGTTAAATATTAATTGGTAAATCTAGGTAAAGGATATTCCTGTAATAATTTCAACTTTATTGTTCTGAAAAACTTAAAAAACAAGAAGCTCAAAGGAAATATCAGCACTTAACATTGAATTTTAGCAAAAAATGCATTCTCAGCATTTACTGGAGACTTGTGTGGGTGTATGTATATAAAATACGTATATATACATATTTCCACAATGCTTACATACACATGGTTTAATATTGAGGGGTAATGAGTACGTTCTCCCCATAATACTAAGCCATTCTTGCATTTCTAATCTACCAGGTTTGGCTTGCTATTCTTTTAGTATATTACTCCAGCATTATTCAGTATACTTAGTATGCTTCAGTATATTATTTGTCATCTTTTTACTTATATTCAGATTTGGTATTAGCTTTCTCATTGTGGGTTACCTGTCAGTTTTTGCTATCATATTTAAGATACTTTTGTGAAATGAATTCAGAAGAATTTCATGTTTCTCAAAGATTTAAAACAAAATATGGGCTGAGGACATAGCTCAGTGGTGCCATACCTGCCTGGCATGTGTAAGGTCCTGAGTTCGATCCCTGGTACCAAAAAAACTCCCAAACAACAACAGCAACAACAAAAACACAAAATGTATATACAGATATAGATCAAAATTGATCTTTTCCTTGAAAATTTGGAGAATGTAACCAACCACAAAATCACCTAAGTACAGTTAGAATAAGTTAATTCTTTAAATTTTTGTGCCTTTCATGAATTAGTGATTTACATTTTCTTCTTCCTTGGGTAAATTTTGGTATACTGTGTTTTCATAAAAATTGTCTATTTTAGAAAATGTTCACAAAATTTAAAATTTTAATCGTATAAACTTTATAAATAATTTGTTCTTGCATTAAAAAAAGTGATTTTGTTTTTCCTAAAAATTTTCTCCCAGCTTTTGGCTAAAGGTGCAGCCTTAACTACCAATTTTCTTACAAGACAAATATCCATAATAAAGTTTTTTAAAAAAAGAGGATATTTGTATGAATGTAAAAATCTGTTTTAGTCAGGCATGGTGCCACCTACCTCTGCTCTCAGTACTCTGGGAGGCTGAGACAGAAGGATCGAAAAGTTTAAGCTCCACCTGGGTAATTTAGCAACTCAGTGAGACCTTATCTCAAAAAATTTGAAAAGGGCTGGGAAAATACGTGTGAAGGTTTGGGGTTCAAGCCCCAGAACCACAAAGTCTTATTCCAGTTCTCTACTTCAGAGCATGGGTTAAGATCTTTATTTTTAAGGAAACAGACATAAATACCAAGAATAGAAGCACAATTTATCATGTATGTATAGATTTACAGCTACAGACATGGTGTATCACTCCAATTCACCATCCCAAAGCCAGCTGTGAAGCTTAAAGCTTAAATATCTATTCACTTCAGATTTTTACAAATTTTACCAGCTCAACTAAATTATTTGCTCATCCTTATCTGTGTAATATAAGAACAAAGATGATTTTGTTTCCTAAATGATTTTTTTCTTGGCTTTTATAGATCACTGCTGAAAAACTATGTCTTAAAATAATACGTATCAAAAAGCACATATTTTAATTAATGAATGCATGGGGATTTCTATATTGTAGCACTGACCTAATGACAGAGAAATTCTAGATAGACTGCTAATTAAAAATGTTTGATTAGTGATTTGAAGCATTCTTTTAATACTTAACATACACTCATTTGTATCCACTCCCAAATGGCACACCAAAGTTTACTAGTTTAGTTGTTATCTAGTTCTCCTTTTTTGGCTCTAGAGAAATAGAATGAGGATTATCTAATTACTGGGATGAAAGAACAATGGATATTTTAAAGAAATGCTGTGATTAGTCCATGAGATTAAGGTTCATCACAGATCATCTCTGTGCTCAACAATAATCCTCATTATGCTATAAGCTTGGTCTCGTCGTTTTCTACATTTTTATGTGTTAGTAAACTTTCCTTAGACACATGTTTAAGTATTCTTAGCACATTACAAAATTAGCTCACTAACATGTCCAAATATAAGCAACATGCTAAGAGCAGGGCCCAGTTAGCAAGCTCATAATTAGATTAGGTACTGTTACTTATAGTCACCTAATTTGGCATTTCATTCTTCACTTGTAAATTAATTCATTAAAAATAATATTTATACAAAGAAGGTAACATCCCAATCCAATATGGGTCAGATAGTTCTTTCTTTCTTTTTTTTTTTCCCCTGGTACTTGGCATTGAACTCAGAACTTTGCACTTGCCAGGCAGTCATGGTGCCACTGAGCTACGTTCCAGGCCTGGGTCAGGTATTTCTTAAGGGCTAAAAATGGTAGTTATTTAACATTCCTGACTCATAAATAATGGCTTTAACACTTAATAGTGGGAAAATTTGTCTAAGTCTTGAAAAGATAAAAAAAAAATTAATTTTATATAGTGACACATCACAGGAAGTCAAGGTTGGGACCAAAGCAATCACTGACCACCAGGAAAATACGTATCATCGTGAGTGCCTCTTACCTGATACAAAGGGCCATCCTGAGAGCAGACTTGCGAGGCTGAGCAGTTCAGACACCGAAACTGCGGAGGAGATGAACTCATCAGATAAGAGGCATCCACAATTGGATACATATTTAAAACTGATTATTTAAAATATTTTAACGTCAAACATAAGAGGCAATATGATTAATTTTAAATAAACACTCAGAAAATGGCAGTTGTTTTGGAAAAAGTAGATTTAATAACTTGGTGATTGATAAAATTTAGCTTTAAGTGATTTCATCATCTAGCTATGAGATTACTACTATGCTGCAAATACCAAAATGGGGGCCTATTTTCTTCATATCCTTTTCAAATACTAATTCCTGGGGAAATCTTCACTTAGTATATAAGGGACAGTCTCTCTTCCATTCCTTCTGGTGAACAATCTCTCCCAGGTCTTCTTTTTACCCCTCTTTTCAAGGAGATCAGATCTCTAAATGAGGCATAGAAATTTCACTCAACCTGTCAGAATCCACTTTCTCTTCTTCATATTGCTCAGATTACATTACTAGTCTAAACATCTATGTTGATAGCTTTAAGTTAGGAATTCCTGAAGTCTATTTCATGTTCGCATTTGCAATCTTAACAGCTACTGTCCAGAACTATTACACAGCAGCCACTCTAAAATAAGTATTTCATGAATAAATCAACAAGTGAGCATATTTTAAAAATTTTGAGTAGATTCATTTATAAACTCCTGCCTTTTATCAATTTAACCACTCATATTAAGAAAAATCATTCCCAATCCTGATTTTTAAATTTAAAATATGCTAAACACATTAAACACAAATATAATTTTTGTAATTGGAGTATAAAATATATACTTTAAAATTATGCATACATGAATTCAACATTGCATACTGGCTAAATGGAATAAATTAAGTACAGTGGACCTTTGACTTATGAACGCAATTGTCCTCAAGTGCTGCTTGTAACTCAAGTTCGTCAACTGAAGGCTCAGGCTCCTCTACACAGCCTTCAAAGTCTCTCTCCTGTATACAGGTAGTTTTTAGTGTCCTTAAACATGGTCCCAGGATTTCTCAACACCACACAGGAAAGGATGTTGTGCTGTTCCTTTCAGTAAGTAACTCTTTAAGAGTTAAATTTGTATCTGAGACCATCTGGAAGTATAAGTGGCTGGAATCTGGATTGAAACTCAAGACTTTGTAAGTTAAAACTACAATTCTGGCCGTAACCCAAGTTGTTTGTATGTATGTTATAACTTGAGGGTCCACCCTGTATACATAAAGTGAGAGTTGTAAATTTACTGGGATAGTTCTAACATGCCAGAATAGATTTTTAAAAGACATACTTTGAGGAGATGGTAAGTTTTCTATCTCCCCAAAATACTTTTACAGTTTTTTTCTTTAGAAGTTGACCCTCAATTCTGTGTACAGTGCTCATCAACATGCTATCCTTTGATGACCTGCTCCTTACTCTTTGAATAAATAGTCTCCCAGCTATGGCCTATCAGAATTTGCCTAACCAAGTTGCAAAAAAGCATCCAGAACAGAGTTAAGGTAGGGAGAAGCATCTTCACTAATTCTTTTTTCTATTAATGTCTTTGGTATCAGTCAAAATGGATTAGCTTTATTTTTCCTAAAATTGCCAGATAATGCAAATTAAGCAAAGGTAGACAAGCATGATGCAGTCACTTCTGGTGCCAGACTGGCAGAAGTTGCTAAAGGAGAAGAAACTAACCAGGATCATTTTGGAATGGGGGCTGTACTGAGAGTGAGTACTTTCCCTACTGAGGTGAGGAGGAGGAACATGAGCGTGTGATTACAGTTGAGGCCGCGTAGAAAGATACTGATGGCAAGCTCTCAGATGTGGGACTCAGTGAAGGAACAGAACTACAATCAAAATGAAAGTTAATGTAAGCAAGCTATTGCTAAAATAACTGTTTACTATGTCAGGCATTCTGCTAAACATTTAATTCTTCATGTGTGTTTTGGAATAGATGTTACTGCTCCAGTTACGGAGAAAATAGCTGCAACATATAATGTAAAATTAGTACTTCAAACATGCACAAACATGTAAAAACAAAAAGTACAAAATATTTAACAAAAAGTTCATATTCAGAATAAAGAGTTTATAGCAATGAATAAGAAAAAGGGAAACTTAGTGGTCAAAAAACCCCAAGGCAATTAAGATGAAAGTTTATAAAAGAAAATATGAAATCGGTAATATGGAGTGTTGGTAAAGATTATCAGAAAATGAGCACTGGCATCCATTCTACATTGTTAAACCTCTTGAGAGGACGGTCTGTCATCTCTCAAAATTCAGAACATGCACACTCTGTTGTACATCTACTTCTAGGGTTCTAGACAATGGATATGCTTGCACATATGTAGAAATCATGGCTCTAATGTCAAAAAACTTGAAAAAAAATCTAAATTTCCACCAAACTATTGTGTTAGTTAAATATGCTACAGATACAAGTCAAATTCTATCAATATATTAAAAAATATTTCGAAGTTTACTGATTCTCCAAAAGACATCAAATGAGAAGTAGTTGCAAAACAATACATGAAATTCCATATAAATTTTAAAAAACTGTGATGACCACTGGCATGGAATATTATATTATATATAAATTATATATAATTTCTGCAGTACTATGGATTGAACTCAAGCATGTTAGGCAGCAGGTCTACCACTGAACTAGACCCTCTACTCTATTTATTTCTTTGTTTTGATGCAAAGTCTCATTAAGTTGCTCAGGCGGGCCTCCAACTTATGATTCTTCTGCCTCAGCCTCTGGAGTAGCTAGAATTACAGGCGTGCACCACCACGTCTGGCTATTTTTTCAAAGTACATTTCTCCCACTATAAGCAAAAAAAAAAAAAAATCAATGCCAATTTTGAGTATAAGAATAATGAAGCAGCAAATATTGTTATATACTGAAACATTTCTAAGAGCTAGCTAAATTTGACCAGATGTTTGTTTTGATTCCTAAAGATAAAAATCTTTCAAAAAGGAATCACAATGAAAACAAGGTTCCAGAAAGGGCTGAGCGGAAGGACAAAAGGCTAAGCCTGAAGTAGAACTACTGCACAATAAAGAAAAGCAGTGGTACTGAAGCTGGGTACTTCAGGGAGATAGCCTACTACTTGAGAACTGGAGACAAAATTAATTTGCTTGAGATTCTTCCTAGGAGGCTGGAAATAGGACGCAGGGGCAGTCTGAACATGAGTAGCCTTGTCTGAGGCAAAAGACTCTGAAGGCAGTGTCCAAGAAGAAAGAAAACTAGTTTTACTCAGACACATAAGCAAAGCATAATGAACATATAAGGAGATAACCTGATGGCACTACATAGAATAATGGACTGCTAACATGCCAGTTCCAGCCCAAACAACACAGAAATATCTGTGCCAATTATAATCTCACTCAAAATAAATGGGGAAAATCAGCCAGCACAAAATAAAAACAAGTAGGTGTTTTTTTTTTTTTATTGCAGTAATATACTATCAGGAACAGATATGTATCACCAAGCAACCTAAAAAGGCCCAACTATTTGCCTTATAACATGTTAGTTTGAACTTTAATCAAACTTATCCCACATAAATTGGACAATTAAAGGCAAATAGTTACGTGATTAGATTTTTATAAAATCTATATGATGTGTAATGCTGGTTTAGAAAAAGATTCAGTTGAAAGAATAAAACAGAATGTCCAGGAACATAAATATAAACTATACACTGTTCATACATTTACATTTATGCATACATGTATGTACATAATGATGACATTTCATAGCAATATGGTAAAATATGGAGATTATTCAACAAATTGTATTTTTTTTCCAGTATTGGGGATCGAACTCAGGACCTTGCACTTGCCAGGCAGGCGTGGCCCCACTGAGCTACATCCTCAGCACCAACAAATTGTAATTTTTGACTAAAAACTTTAGAATAAATTACTCTTAACCTAATTGTGAGTATGTGTATAAATAAACCAATCCCAGATGGATTAAAATGTTCAATATTAAAATACTAGAAGCAAATCAAAGAATCATATTGTGGTCTTTAGGAGAGAAGCCAATGCCTGCCCCAAGCAAAAGCAGAGCTAGTTAGAAATGTCAGGAGGTAATGAGAACTTTTGAGAACTCTTGGCCTCCTGCTGGCAATGGAAAGTAGAAATGGGAAGGGGTGTGATCACAACAAATATGCTAGTAGGGTCTTAGTGAAGAAATGATTTTATTGTCACTGCAGCATTTGTCCACGCCACTCCTCTGCCAGAATTCATCTATCATAATAATTTACACTTAACTGGAACCTAAGGATTTAAAATTTCTTTAACTAACATTCAAGTAAATGAAATTATCTTTAGGATATATTTTATATAATTACTTTATTAAAGAAAACTTTTCAATTTACTCTAAACAAATACTGTATTCTGTGCTGGGCAGTACCCTAGATGCTGGATCTAGCAGTGAACAAACGGAAATCTCTGCCTTCCGATTACATTTTAGCTGGGGACAAAACACATATATAGGAAGCAAGGGTGTTCGAGGGTATTAAATACCATGGAAAACAATAAAAGGGATTAAGACCATCATTGGGAGGTCAGAAATCTCACTGAGAAGGTTACAGGAGCTGAACAGAGAGGTGAGGGCAAAGGAGCTAGTGTGATGCAGCACTAGCAGGGCATGTTTGGGGACACACACAAGCCACTTTGGATAGAGGCCTGTGTGTCAAAGGAAGAATAAATGGTCAGGGAAGAGGGACGGAGGAGATCTGTGTGTGTGTGTGTGTGTGTGTGTGTGTGTGTGTGTGTGTACAGTATTCACAAGTCTCTACAAAGACTCTGATAGAGGCCTGTGTGTCAAAGGAAGAATAAATGGTCAAGCGAGAGAGGGACGGAGATCTGTGTGTGTGTGTGTGTGTGTACAGTATTTACAAGTCTCTAGAAAGACTCTGATTGTGTCTAAAGTACATTTGACATTACTGGAGGACTAGAAGCAGAGGATAACATGCCTTCTGGCTCAGGCACGGGGTAAGGAGCACAGGTTGGGGGAGCAGGGTGGAGCCCGGCTGGGAGATTTTCAGAATCAATCTAGCAGACAGCCATAGTGGGTGGGACTGAAATGGCAGAAGGAAGGGAGTGGGACATGACTGGATTCTGAATATAGTGTTCTGATGGTGAAAGTTACAAATTTTGCTAAAGATGGATGCGGGACTGACTTCAGGGACTTTGGTCTGAGTAAGTAGAAAAATGGAGCTACCAATTTCAAAATGAGGCTGAAGGTGGAGAGATACAGAAAGGAAAAAAAAGAAATGGTCCAGTATATTACTTTACTGTTGTGCTAAGACGGTCATTTTTCTCTACCTGAACGATAAATCTTAAGATACTGTACTGCTTTTTAAACTTTTATTAAAATATGCCTCAAACAAATTATTTAGAATTGTGTGATCAGAAATGCTGTGATCAGTAAATACTGATTTAACTAACAGTTTATTAACAGAAACTTATCTGAATTAGCTCTTTCATACTTTGACATTTAAATAACTGAAAATGCAGGCAACTTTCTGCAGAGGACTTGTGAAGTCCTGGTCTCACAGTGATGACCATTTACAGCTCTTTAACCTCCTGGCCAATCTATTCATAATAATGATTTCTAGCACTAAAACAATGAAGTGCCCACTGAATTACCCATATAACCTAATATTACATTCAGTACAACATTAATATTATATGTAATATCACAACATCCACTCCCCAACAGTGCTGGTTGAGTTTATTCTCTGCATTCCATACCTGATAATGCCTATACAAACCATAAAAAACTATAAAATGTCACAGAAAGGCAAATAATTATTTACCAAACACAAAGAAAATTACATTTAAAAAATGAACTGTATAAAGGTTTGATGAATTCTTTCAGAATGTAGTTTCTTTTTTGTTTGTTTGTCTGTTTTTGTTTTTGGTTACCAGGGATCGAACTCGGGACCATGAGCTTGAGAGGCAGGTGGTGGAATCACTGAGCTAAATCCCCGGCCCCAGAATGCAATTTCTTTAGTTCTGGTTTTGAGCCCTTTCTTTTACTGGATAGGTAATTCAGTTTAACAAGGCTTACCCATATGAAATTCAAATAGGAAAAAAACTTTGATATCAGAAGTTAAGTGCTTCATTTATTATATTATCACATCAAGACTTTTTTTCTAAGAATTAGCCACAGATCTTTATCCACTGGATAGAACAAAACATGATATTGTGAAGTTTGTTTTACAACAGTTACAAAGACATGTTTTCTTTCTTTTCTTTTCTCTTTTTGGGGGGCAGGGTCTCATTCTGTAGTTCAGGCTGGCCTCAAATTGATGTGACCCTTCTGCCTCAGCCTCCCAAGTACTGGGATTACAGATGTATGTCACCAAGCCTGGCTGTTTACATTCAATGTTAAGCATGTTTCTGAACTACTGAAACATGGCAACTTCCATATTTGGATTTACATAGTCTTACCTTGTGTGAGAACATTTCTTAATTTTGTGTTATATTCTATAATTAATTTACATTTTCATATGAAAATGCAATAAAACATAGTTCACAGAACAGAAATGTTAAATTACTTAAGACTTTAAAAGTATGACATATCTCATGATAACCACCATAAAATCTTAATGTCTGAAAGATAACCTTGGAAGTTGTTTAGTCCAAATTTATAATCAATCTTAAGGTTTTTTCATACACTCAGATCATGATGAGAATTTCTGATAGCAGTACTATACCATTCCTCATTCTCACATATTAGCCTAACAATCCCTAGCGTCTCATATTTTCCTAATATCCCACGTTCCTTGTAACTCAGGTGTACTTGAGCCTAGAATTTAACCCTAATAAAGGATACAGTTCAAAAAGATTCTCCTTTGGGGTTTTCTTAGTTTTTTTCTTTTGAACAGTTTCTTCCATATTGCCTAGGGCCTAAGGCAAAAGAATCTAATCCTGGCATCAGAAGCCACTGCAAATTCATTTACCCTTAGACCTGATCTTACACTTTCAATGTAAAGGTGGTACCTGAAAAACAGATGCAGGCATATTCTACCCTATCTGTCCTCTCTGTTACAACCTCAAATCAGTTCTCTTACAGAATTAGGCATACTAGTCAGCGTAGAACCTCATCTTTCCCAACTTCATTCTATATACTTATGGGTTCCTGTTAGTTACTGGGCTTTAAAAATATGTCACTTTTTCTATTTTGAAGTTAGCAGAATTCTGAACATCTTTCAACAGTTTTAAACTACTTTAACACAGACATTGGTTTTATACTTGGACCAAATTTAGAATGTTGGAAGAAACACGAGAAACCATTTTTTTCTTCCCAACAATTTTTTTCAGTTCCTAAGTAATACTATTAAATTTAAATAACATACTAAATAATGCATATAGGTAAATATAAAAGTAATTTACGTTTTCTCCTCTTAGTCGCCATCTTGTCATATAGATGAATTCCATAGTATGATCCTTCCCCATAATTTCACCATTGCACAGTACATCCAACTTTAAAAAGAATCACAAATATATTAACATAAGTAATTTTGAAATAATATGTATTTTATATATTTTTGATATCGATGTAGTTGTAATTATGCGTTATTTAAATGAACACAGTACTTTATTGAAAGCATTTTTCTTTCTTATAGAATATTAACAATTCAGATGAAGCAGTTTATCTTCTCACAATACATACCTATTTAAGTTCATATACATAATTTATAAGTGGAATGTAAACTTTCTTAGTTCATATTTCTGTGTAACCTTAAAGATTTTATACGCATTTCTGTGACTGTTCTTTACAAATGACAAGAAAGTGTACCAAGCTCACAGGTTCTCTGGCTTCTGAATTCATCTGTCAGAATCCTTTTGACTTCCCAAGATTAAAAAGGGTAATTTTCTTCTCAGTTTTGATTCAAAAGAGGTACTAGTGTGGACTCAACAATTTATGGGGTTTTGGGGTACATTAAAGTTTCTAGTAAGTTCTGACAGCGAAGTTAATCCCACACTTTGGACCCTGGCACAAGTCTGTGTCTGGCTTCTCGCCTTTGCTGGGTTGATAATGTATAGTACAACACTTACGGGATACTCTTCTCACTTTGCATGAAATATCACAAAAGGGTTGTATTTATGAATGAAGGCTCATATTTGTTCTAGGTTGCAGGAGCTAAACAGCACCCCCCATCCTTACGAAGGCCACAGGAATTCTGGTTATGGTTCACTAATTCAACAAAGCATAATTAAATATTTATCACAGACTCCTTTAAAAAAAACTGTTGTTCTCCAGCTATTGAGAGTAACTGGTAAGATTTGAAGTATGGAGGGGAAGAAAGAGAATGTGTTTTAAATAATTTGGTATCTGGCTAGACAAAGACTATAATTGTGAACTTTAAAATGAGTATTAGACATATGAAACTTGATTACTTTTTGATAAATTGTGCTGACTTATATAAATTTAGAAATTTTTTTCAGATGTGATTTTATTAACTTTCAATCTGTCTGTCTGTCTGTGACTCTCTGTCCTTCTTGACAGGCTCTCACTAAGTTGCCAAGGCTGGCCTTGAAACTGATCCTCCTGACTCAGCCTCCTAAGTGCTAGGATTACAGGTGTGTTCTACCATGTCCAGCTCATTTTACTATTAAAAGAACAAAGTAGATAATTTCCTTTTCTTTATCTTGCCTGTAAAATAAATGAACAAGCAGAGAAGTAAAGGGAGTTACTCTGGATGGAATTAGTAATCAAGACTATGTCTCCTAGTGACATTTAACAACTAAACTATTTTGGCCCATTTAGCAATGCTGTCATATAAATTTCAATGGTCAGGTATTATATTAAATCATTTATTACATGCTGGGAAGAAAAATAATCACAGACCAATCCTAAAAAATATAAGAAAAAGTCTTTTGACTGGGATATGTAAGAAATGAAGAGTAGATAGAATCTTTTTTCCTTCCATCTTTGTCTATAAAGAAATAGACTACATGCCAGAAGACTGACAGCAATAGTTTTCTTAGCTCTAACAATTTCCTGAAAATGAGAAGATGGCAATTCAATAAATCAGACTTAAAAATAAGGAAATAAAACTATATGTGGTACTTCATTAAAAAAAACGCAAAATCAAATCATAAAAACAATTTCATTATCTACCTATACACTGTTGTCTTCTACTTTACAAAAGCACATTAGGTTCTAATATTTAAATTTTCATAATACAATTTCACAATTTTTTCTTAATATAAAAGTAGATGTTGCTTTTTTCTTTAATTTGTAGGACCAAATTCTTTTTTTTTCTTTTTTTCTTTTTATTGAGTTTATTGGTACAATCTAGGTAATACAATACAGTTACATTCATCATTGGGATCTTGTACCTTTACATAATAGGTCTTGATTGTCATTTTTTCCCCTTGTCCCTGCCCTCCCTTCACCCCCTCTGTAGGACCAAATACTAAAAAACATTTTAACCCAGACTAATTAGTCATCTGAGAGGAAGTATTAGATGCTTCCTCAAAATAAAGACTTCATACTTATCAATGCCAGTGTTCAAATATGGTCACATTTTATTTTTCTCCTGATGACTGCTTATGATATAAATGTTAATGCAGGTAAGCCAGAAAAACTACGCTGCCTTTGATGTCTTTGTTCATACAGGAAACTGGCCTGGTCTCTAGTTTTTTGGATGCTACTATTAGAATCCAGGGCAGAGGAAGGGGAAATTAATAAAAGTTGTACTTGGGCAGATAATAAAAGGTAGCAATATTTTTTACTGTTATATCCATAACCCTTAAGATCATAAACATTCTCTCAACACTGAATACATTATAAGCTATCCTGTCATCAGTGTCAGGGCAATTTGCCTCTTTTATAATACAATGGTAAAATATATTTATGAACATGCAATATGTTGGTTTTACCTAGTGCTAAACATTATCAATTTTGCAAACGTGGAACTATATGAGTAGTATCTGTGAAATACTTAAAAAGACAATGTTTAAATTCTGAGGTATATAAAAACTGGTAATAATTTAAAGGTCTTAGATTAAGGAATCACACATCCTAAAAATATGCTGATATTCAAAAGAAAAATAATTTACTTAGTATATTTTCAGAGAACTTAATAATTATGTTTAAGTATCTCCTCCAATTATAAAACACTCCTCTAATTACAAAATACTAAGTGTGTTACCATCCTGATTTACTCGGTATATGTTAAACTGGAAATATATAAATGGAATATATTCTAAAAATTAAAATTTTAACATGAAAATAACAAGTTTCCACAATAATTTAAATATATTATCAGTTAATTTTCCTTCATTAGAACTTATCAGAATTATCAAAATGATAATTATCAAAATGATATTTAGCTTACCTCATAAGAACTTGGAAGTTTTAGTTTTAAACTTAAAAATTTTTTAATAGTTCCCACAGTTACACGTGTAGAACATCGAATGAATTTCTTCATCAGACCCTAAAGGAAATAAGGATAACTGATTAAAATATTCTACTTTGTCTTTAAACTTGAGGTGCACCATTTTAATTATCACTTTAAATACTTTCCAAATGGGTTGCAAGAATGCTTCAATTTATAGGCCTGTAGTATTTGTAAGTAAAAAATGTTCCTCATCCTAGGTATATGACATGCTTTAAGAAGACATTATCGGGCCAGGGATTTAGCTCAGTGGTTCGGTGGCCTGCCTCGCAAGCGCAAAAAAAAAAAAAAAAAAAAAAAAAAAAAAAAAAAAATTAGAAGACATTATCAAGGTCCCATGTCTCTTTGGTTAAAGACATTGTAAGTATTTTATTCTTTTTGATGCTATTTTGAAAATGGAATTGTTTAAACTTCATTTTTGGATTGTTTGCTCTAGCTAACTCTTGACTCTTGTATATTGATTTGTACCCTGAACCTTGCTAAACTTATGAGCTATCAGTTTTTCTGTGGATCTCTAAGAAATTTCTACATACAATTATGCTATCTGAAATACTTCTTTTACAATCTAAATGTTTTTCTTATCTAATTGCCTTAGTTACAATATCTAGGACAACACAGAATAGAATCTCAGGAGGAAAGTTTTCAGTCACCCTTCATTACGATGACAGCTGAGGTTTTTCACAGATAGCCTTCATTTGAGAGTTCCCTTTTAATTTCAAAGTTTGCTGAGCCCTCTAAAAGGAAAGGGTGGGGCCAGGGATTTAGCTCAGTGGTTCTGCAGCCTGCCTCCCAAGTGCAAGGAAAGGGGCTGGACTTTTTTTTTTAATTTTTTTTTTGGTACCGGGGATTGAACTCGGGTCCTTGCACTTGCAAGGCAGGCCACTGAACCGCTGAGCTAAATCCCCAGCCCCCCCCCACCTTTTTTTTAGAGGCTGGATTTTATCAAATGCTTTTTCTTACTCTATCTGAGATTACCATGTATTTTTTTACCCCTGTATTCTATTAACATGGAATATTAACTGATTTTTCCTACATTGGATTAACCTTGATAATGGTGTATAGTCTTTTCTTTATGCAGCTAAATGCCCTTTTAAGATTTTTGCATCTATATTCATAAAAAATTGATTCATAGTTTTTCTTTTTTAAGGCTTAAAAACTGTGGTTACAAATGTGTATTACAAAATTTACCACCTCAGCCATTTTTGCTTTTTTGGTACCAGGGATTGAACTCTGGAGCGACAGAACTACTAAGCTAATTCCCTCAGTAGCCATTTTTAAATATAAAGTTCAGTAGTACTAATTCTACTCACACTGTTGTAAAACAGCTCCAGGACTTTTTAGTCTTGCAAACCTGAAACCCTATACCTGTTAAGCAAGAATTTATTTTCCCCCCATCCCCAGCCAGTGGTAATACTGTTGTACTTTCTAAGAATTTGACTTTAGATCCTTCATAATAAATGGAATCATACCACATCTGTCTTTTTATGAATGAGTTATTTCACTTAGCATAATGTCCCTCAGGTTTATTCATATTAAGGGACAAAACAAGATTTCTTCCCATTTTAAGATTGAAAGTTTTTTTGTTTTTTTTTTTTTTTTTTTGAGACAGGGTCTTTCTATGTAGTTCAGACTGCCCTGGACGTCACTGTGTAGCCCACACTGGTCTTGAACTCATAGCGATCCTCCTGCCTCAGCCTCCTGAGTGCTGGGATTACAGGCAGGTGATACCACACCCAGCTTTTAAGGCTGAATAATATTCCATTGTATGAATGAATATAGCACATCTCCATTCATACAACAATGTATATTTGGGTTGCTGTCATTTGCTGGTTATGGTAAATAATCTTGCTATAAATATGGGGTGTTCAAACAGCTCTTTTAAGATCTTGCATTCAATTCTTTGCCATATATACTTGGAGATGGAAATGATGAATCACATAATAGTTCTATTTTTAATTTTGAGGAAAGGCTATATACTATTTTCCACAGTGATCACACTATTTTAAAATCTCACCAACAGAGCAGCAGGGTTTCAATTTTTTATATTCTCACCAACATTTGTTATTTTCTATTTCTTTTAAAATTTATAGCAGTCATCCTAATGACTATGGGATGATTTTTAACTGTCTCTTTGATTTGTATTTTTCTGATAATTAGTGATGGTGAATACCTTCTCTTATGCTTCTTGGCCATTGTGTGTTCTCTTTGGAAAAATGTCTACTTAAAACCTTTGGGCAATTTTAAAATCAGATTATTTGATGTTTCTGTTGTTCAGTTGTAGAACTCTTTATATATTCCAGATAGTAACCCTTTATCAGATATATGGCTGGAAAATATTTTCCCCCATTCTACATTACCATTTCACTCTAGTAAATGTGTCCCTTGATGCATAAAAGTTCCAGTTTTCTCTTATTGTAATGTCTTTGGTTCTGGTGTTCAAGCAATAACTGTCTTCACAGAATGACTTGGAAAATATTCCTATCTTTTACAAGAGTTTGTGAAAGATATGTTGATTCTGACTTAAATGTGTGGGCTTTTGTGGGAAGTTTTGTTTTTTGCTATCAGTTTCATTGCTATTTGTTATAGGTCTACAGATACTCTCTTTCTTCCTGAGTCAGTTTTGGTAGTTTATGTATTTTAAGAAATCTTCCATTTCATCTATACAACTTTTGGTATACAGTTGTTTATAGTATTCCCTTATAATTTGTCTTGTAAGATTGATACTAATGTTTCCTCTTTCATCCCTGAGTTTAATAAACCATCCATCTTGTTCTGTCTAGCAAAAAATTTAACAATTTTGTTAAGGTCAAAGAACAAACTTTCAGTTTCTGAAACTTTCTTTTTTCAATTCTCTAATTTTTCCTAATACTTATTATTTTGTTCGTTTTGCTTGATTTTAGTTTTTCTCTAGTTTCTTAAGGTAAAAGATTAGGTTATTCATTGAAGCTTTTCTTGTTTTTAAATGTAAATGTTTATAGTCAAAAATTTTCCTCTGAACAATCCTTCTGCCACATTCTGTAAGTATTGGCCTGTTGTGACTCATTTTCTGTACTCAAAACATTTACAAATTTCCTCTTGATTATTTCTTTGACTCAGTGCTTATTGAAGAATTCCTCACGGCTTAATTTCTACATATTTGTGAATTTCTTAAGTTTCTTCCTGTTACTGATTTTTAATTTTATTCTTTTCTTGAGGGTTTGGGTGATCTGTTTTAGTACAGGAACACAAACTCAGGGCCTCACACTTGCCAGGCAGGTGCTGTACTGCTGAGCTACATCTCTGGCCCTAATTTGATTCTCTTGTGGTCAGATAATATACTTTGCATAAGCTGTCTTTTTAAATTTATGTAAATTTGTTTTGTGGCCAAACAGAATGCCCCATGTGCTTTTTTAAAAAACGTGTTTTATTTTGAGACAGGGTCTCACTACATAGTTGTGCTAGCTTTGAACTATGTAGCCTTGAACTCACGGCAATTCTCTCGCCTTAGCTTATGGGGTACTGGATTTACAGGTATGCATCACTACACCCAGCCTGTGCACTTTTGAAAAAAATGTGTATTCTGCTGTTGTGTGGCATGTTCTATAGATGTCAATTAGGTTTAGTTATGGTTATAGTGCTGTTCAAATCTTGCTTTTCCTTATTTACTGCACTAATTGTGCACCCATTACTGAAAGTGAGGTATTTAAGCCCCAACCAATACTGTTAGAATTGTCATATCCAATTTTGCTTCCATATTTTAGGGCTCTCTTGTTAGATGAACATATGTTAAGTATTTTATTTTCTTGACAGATCGACACTTTTATCATATAATTGTTCTTTTTGTCTCACATACGTTTTATTTGAACATCTATTTTGTCTGATGTTATTAGAATTTCTGTTTCTTTGGTAGTGTTTCTAACAGCATTCTTTAAATTCCATTTTTAGTCTATTTGTGTATTTGAATCTAAAGCAATTTTATTGCAGACAGTACAAAGGTAAATCATATATTTTTTTAATTCTTTCTGCCAATCATTGGCTGTTCAACGGAGAGCATAATAACCTGCTTCCTTATAATGCAGTCATGGATAAGGCGGAGGTTGTTAGTTTGCTATTTTTCTATATTGTAGATATAACTTCTCTTCCCATATAGCACTTTTGCCTTCATCCTTTATTTTGTTTTTGTCACAAGTTGTATTTTTATATTTTTGTGTCTGTTAACTCAAACTTAGAATACTGCTTTGGTACTACTCTCTTTTAAACTGGAGTAGGAGGGGGGAAAAGTTTCTAATACAAAATGTCTTTTTTTCTTATGCTCTCTCTCCCTTTAAAAATTAGTTTATGCTTATGATACATGTAATTACATTCATCTTAGGGAACCGCTACACATACATCTAACTGGATCATATCTACTCCATCCCCTGCCATCCCTTCTCCCTTCTTCTCCAGACCTTCTACTCATTTCCATACAGTCTATGTCCCCGTTTCCTACCATCTCTCTTTTATTTTGCTCTTTAAATTTTGAGTTTCTTATATTAGAAAACCCATGCCATATTTAACTTTCTATGTCTGATTAATTTCATTTATTATTATGGTCTCGAGACCCATCCATTTTCCTGAGTCAAGTCTAACCTTCTTTATGGACGAGTAACGATGTGTATATATATCACATTTTCTTTAGCCCTTCACCTGTTGATGGGACTATAAGCTGCAAATCATTAAAAAGATGGTATGTCATGGCAAAGTTTGCTTCATTCCAGGGTTGCAAAGATGTCTCAATAAATATACCATATAATCAGAAAAAAAACCCCACATGATTATCTCAATAGATAGAGAAAAAGCCTTTGAAAAAAATCCTGTACAGTTACTTACTCATGCTCTTTATTTCTTCATCTGGCTTTAACTTTTGGTTTAGTGCCCTTTTACTTAGACCTAGAGCTACCTCCTAATTTTTTGAAGAAAAGATCTTATAGTGACACAATCTTCTCCGTTTGTATTTATCTGGTAATCTTAGTTCTTCCTTTTTGAAAGCAGGTAAGATTTTTCATGTATATATAAAACTT